AGACAGGCGTAAGATGTCTACTTCATCAGTTGAGGCACAGAATGATTTCTTTCTAGAATTATAAAAAGAAATAAATGTTTTACTGGTTGGACATTGATCGAGTAACAATGTTTCAACATCTAATTGAAAGCCTGCGACAACATACAAATTGAAAAAGGGTTCCCCTGAAAGTCAGAGATGCTGTGCAGGACATCTGTTTCGACCGCGGACCAGTTCGGTCGAAAAGTATTTAAAATCAAGAAAACCAAGGAAATTAAGTGTACTTTGTATTATTATTAAAATATCCATTTAATAGAATATAGTCTGTCTCTTATACACATCTAGATGTGTATAAGAGACAGGGCAAGGACTGGGTGGCTGAGCAGATTACAGGTTTGTTCAAGTCAAGCTTACTCTGAGCCCCTTGACTCCATGTTGTGTTTAAAGAACCTTCGATTTGTATTGAAGACTAAAGTTCAATATTTGAATTGCTTATTTGAATTATAAAAGTAAATTTTTAGTGTTCAAATGAAAGTATGAAATCATTTCCTTTGTCAAATAACATTAATAGTAGTAATAAAAATAATGGAAATTTCATTGTTAGTTGCTAGTCAATATTACATCTATTTGAAAAGTCCATATCAGCAAAAAATGATTTTGTTTAAAAATATCTGTAGTATATTAGCTGGGAACCAGTATTGTACAGAATGCAAAACCAGGCAATGCAACAGAGAAGATGGAGATGGATTTAGTATTTGAATATTATAAATTCATTTGATCCATTGATTCAAGATGAGCAATTAAATGTAAATGAATTTTAGGGTTTTATCTGAGATTACACATATAGTACATCTTTGAAGAAGAAATTTGGGAGGGTCTGTCTATTTTTTGATTGGTTTATAATTTGCCCATAAATAACAAAATGCCCTAGATTTTTTATTTTTCTTTGAATTTATAAAGACAATTTTTTTCTATCAAATGTATTGAGTGTGAAAATATTGTGATACTGACAATTTTTAGGGTTTTTTTTAACCAGATTTTTTTGCTTAATATACGGGCTATTGAATGTTCAATCACACACCAAATTAAATTTTGTTTAATAGTATAAGAAATAATGTAAGTGTGATTTGGTTTGCGAAGTCATAGAAAAAAAACTTTGCAGTATTTTAATGCAGGACAACATAGTTAAATAGTGAGCACCCTCTATAAAAATTAATTATAATAATCCTGGTGATGATCGGAGATCAGAATATTGAATCACAATGACGAGTCTTACTTTATTTTGAGTATGTGTTATACTAAGTTATCTAGTCTTTGAAAAGTATTAATATAATATTAAAATTTCTCATTTCAGAGGGTGTAAGAAATATTTCAAACAGCTATACTATATACACCAAAAGAGATGAGGAATCTGACAGTATCAAAGATAAAGGAAGTGATTTTGATTTTTGTGGAACATTCCAAGCAGACACATGCAGTGGTAGATTTGCAGCAGCCAAAGAATTGATAGAGAAAGCATCAGGTACTATAGAGTGCATGTAGATAATAACAGAAATAGACTGTGAACTTGCAACACTTCAAATTACATGCTTCCATAAAACTTAAGAATATTATAGTTGGAAATCAAATATTATTATTTGATATTTTTATGTGGTTTTTTTTTTTTTTATTAAATAGGGTCTTTAGATGTCAATGCGATGATGAACATTTTGCGAGACCAGTCCAGTGGTGTTTGTCAATCGGGACCAGATCGCATGACCGTTGGTAGCATGGTCTCGATTCTGACTCCAGAGGGCTCCAGTGCACCATGCTTTCACTTGGTGACAGCGACACCTGACCCAAGCCTGTCTGTGTTCAAGCCGTTTGCCTTCACAGAAGACACCAGCTTTCCTGACTTCACAGTGTCCCCATCAAAAACAGACCCCAAGCACAAACTGTACAAGTTACACGAAGCAGCAAGGGGCAGTTTGAAACAGCAAGACGGCCAATCGAAAGAGCTGAAAGATGTGATGCTAGATCTCGAGCAAATGGCACTGGAAGGTATAAAGGAGACCATTCAAGGTCAACAGGTGATGAGTTCGGATTTGAAATCTCTGTTTGAAGATTGCGTGGATTCTGAAATGAAGTTTTATGATTAATTGGTATGGAGAAGGGGGAAATATCCTAAATCACAGTTCACCCTCCAATTTAAGACCTCCTTTGGAACCCCAAAATGTGGATTGGTCTCAGAGTGTCGGTCTGCAATGAAAGGGTTAGCGTTGTGTTAAAATATTGAAGATTGTTATTTGGTACTTTATAAAAGTAGTCTTGAATTTATAGAGGGTTTTGAATTGGAGGGTGAACTTTATGCTATTCGAATTTTGACTGTAAACATTGTTCTTTCAAACAGTATCTGGTACCATATGTCTGGTTTAAGATGTTCTTGATCAAACAAATCATATGGCTGTTCTAGATAATGATGCTTTACTATATCAGACACATTATTAAAAGTAAGTATTAAGTTATCTAAACAGTGGATAAAAAAAATAGCGTTTTTTGGAGACATTTACGGTACATGTTATTTTTCTGCACAAGTTTTGATGGACATGGAAGGCACAGAATATATTAATATATAGTAGAGGCATGGATGGGTATAATAGACATCAAACAGGATCCTGCCTAATGGCATTCAGGAGTTTCATCTGCATATTAATCTCTGTCAAACAGGGACAACATATCTGATGATACTGCCATTAACACTAATTGCATTGGCTGTATGCTGCTAGCCTTATGTACTATACAGTATCTACTTATATTCTGACTTAAAGAGCATTAATTAACCTACATAAATATTTTTTGAACTACTCCACCTATTAAATTATGATTTAGGGAGCATGGTATAGTGGAGAATTGCTGTATAATATTGATGATTTCACTGATAATGATAACAATCATTATAAATATAATAATAATAATAATAAAAATAATAATAATATAACAGTATGATAATATTGATGAATATCATAGAACATCATTAATATAACAGTAATAAGGATAAAAAAATAATAATACTATATAACAAATGTGTCAAATTAATCATGATTATTTCAATACAGTAGTACTTAAACAAATGGTAATAATAAATTTATATTCATAATGATGAATATCATAATAAATATTGCAACAGGCATCTATAATACTTCTGGCTTGGTGGGAGTAAGTAGAATGGATAGAGCAGTGCAGTGTGCAAAAAAAATATAAATTGGTAAAGTGAAGTAGGGTTGGGGCTTTACATGACAGCTTTTCTTGGTTCTGCCATTCCATCCTCTAGTATCAAGAGTATTAATATTATTATCTCTCTCTTTTTTTTTTTTTTTTTTTTTTGGAATTTTTAATTTTTTCAAATGATAATTTTATGGTATCATTCAATGTGCATCCTAACATTCCATTCATGACATTAACCAAATATAAACCAAACAAAAACAAGGTGACCTTATTGATGCAAATTTTGTGAAATTAAGTGAATGTGCTATAATGTAGCCCCACCCATTATTCATTAATGTTCTCCCCTTGTGTTTATGTGCAGTTTCATATTGTAAATTAAGTAGTGTACAGCATAAGTAAAAGTTTTGAGAACGAACTTGATTAAATAAGCTATATTACTGTCAATTTAACAGGGGAGTTCACCTTTATTTATTACAGAAAATTAGACGTAAATGGTAATGATTACTATCATGAGTGTGCCACCTGTAGATGAGGTTGTTAATTTGTGGTGCAGAATAGGTATATTTATGGTTTTTATGGATGATAACCTAGAAAGATTGTAAGATTTAAAAATGTAAGTGCCATGAAGAGAAATATGTTGAATATGATAGTTACTTTTACATTATCATGTGTTTTGGTCCATTGAGTCAATTGACTACAAAATAGAATATAGTGGACCTCTCTGTGATTGCAGCAATATTTTGTTGATCCAAAATGCAAAACTGTTTTAGACAATTTGTGTCAGGTTGGTGGCAATTTAAAACTCAAAGTACTTATAAAAAGCATTCAAATATATATTATATATTATATAGGTAAGTGTTGCAATTAAGAAGTACTTATATTAAGTTATACCTAGACTTATTTAGACTTGTAAAAGATGCACTTGTATATTCATTTTAACTGGAACAAGGTTTTTTGACATTGACAAAAAAGATAATTCAGACATCCATGAATTATAAGCCTACAAAATGTACATCCTCGTTTAATGTTTGTACTGAATTGCATGTACAGTAAAGTATATATTTTATTTATATATGTTTATTTATTTACAATTTCACCTGCTATTTATTTTTAATATCTACTAAGTTTTTATTTTCAAATAACTATAAAAAGAGGTGACAATTCTCAATGTTTCAATTTTATTGGGTTGAAACATAGAATCATATAAAAGAATCTCCTTTTAGTTAAATGTTTTTATGTTAAATTATCAATAATGTTTATCCCATCTTATATTCGACACCACAACAGCTAACAAAAATATATCAACACATGCTACAGTATATTAAGTTTGTCTTAAAAACAAAGTGATTATATGCTTTTACAAGTTAATTTACATAATAATGTTAAAGTATTCTATGTTATAGTGCTAGAATAAAATTCCAAAGTACTGTATGTAGTTAAATTTCAATGAACAATGAAATTCCTTTTCAGATATCTAAATTTATGTGTAGCAGTTCATATTGTAGACTTTTACCAGACATTTTATTGTGTCATCAATCAATTTTTAATATTGAAGTCTCTTAATAAAGTAAGTGGAGCAAAGGATATATGACCTAATACATTAATCAAGTCAATGCCTTTTGGAGTACTTTTAGTGCAGGTTCAATATTCCATGGTTTCCTGTTGCTAAACCAATATTAATAATAATAATACTATTATTAGTATTGTCTTTAAGTAGCCTGTAATTTTTGTAGTTTCAGATTTATATTCAATTTCAATTTTATTCGTCCAATATGGAATTAGCAATGAGTATACAACTAAATGGAATATACCAAAAAGTCTTGGGATTGCTTTTCAATTGGAAAAAATTTAAATGCAAGTCATTAAATACAAGTCATTATGACATTTTGTCAGATGTATTTATTTCATGATATTGTATTATGTATTTTAACTATATTCTGGATGACATGCTCATTCCAGAGTCAACAACTGTATGAAATACAACAGTAAAATATATAAATTTAGTAAATATATACATTGGATGTCATGAAAATCATAAATATAAAAATCAATTTATGAGAGAATAATGATAATGTAGGAGGATCTTTGTAATGTAGTTTGGTTGCAATTGTAGATGTCCCTACTGTATGTTAGGGAGTTGGTTCCATTTCACTGATGCTAGAGCAAAACTGTGCTGTCCAAAATCTAGGGTTGATATAGAAATATTTTTAAAAGGAAGAGTATGAAATGCTTAATGTTTATTATGAATGCAGCCCAGTGGATACAACTTTACCCGTCCAAACTGTATGGAGTCGTTATTGGTTAGCCATGGCCCAGGCCTATAATTATAGTAATTTAAGGCTGACCAACTGATGACAAGGCTTGGGTAGTAGTACTGTAACATCATTTTGTTTTTGCCTAATGAAATTGTTGTTGGTTGATGTATCTACAAATTAGAGGTAAATAAAGTGTTATTCATGACCAAATATTGTTGACAACGAATGTTGAATTCCTAACACATAATGGTTCTTATACTACTGTGTCTTACAGATGTATTGTCCGATGAAAAATCTTTAACTAAATTGTCTTTCTAACTAACCATAAATAATGAAAAATTTGAAAACGTCCTTTATGGGTAGAATGGTGTGCCTTGAACAGAAATCTAAAATTCTTTTGGCCAAACTTGAGCAATTTCTTGGTTTGTTTTGATTCGGCCATCTTGATTACACCCATTTTTTTTTTATGCCACTGTGATACTGTACTGTAAAAGCAGTCTGTTTTAATACATAAAATATTAACATGTAATATTGGTGTTTGTCCAATTTGAATTTGTGGGCAGATTGTGAAGTGTCTCCATTGAAATAGTTGCTGAAGCCTCTCAGTCGTAAGTTTGGGGTTCAAGTTGTTAATCGTTTGTATCTGCTTCCTTGCTAAGGTGCTGTGGCCTGGCAGGCGGGGATCCCAGACCTTTACACCGTTCGCCATGGCTAAGGTCAAGGTGAAAATAATTTTCAAAAATATTAAGTGATTGCAGTGCCTGGGGACTGGCAAAATTTCAACTCTCGTCTCTCAACCAAAGACAAAAAATATAGGTCTAAATATTAATTAAAAAGGGACTGTAATTATATTGGCGGCGCAATGAACTGTGATAAAGTACTGTAGACTGTTGAGTTTTGTATTCTGATTTATGTCACAGTGCATGGTTATTCAAGGATGGTTGGAGGGCGTGTGCATTGATTCTTACAACCTTATTGAAAGGCATATACTTTATACTTTATTATATTTTGTTATTTCAAAATCACACTAAAGCAAAAACCTCAAACTGCAAATGAATACAGCATCGGAAGAAGAGCAATGACAGGAATAGTATATTAATTTCAATTCAAATAGCTTTGGAAGTGGAAAAAAAATTAACAAAACAATACAGTACTGGAAAATTGAGAAGATATCTAATTAATAAGCGCATGATATAACTATTAATTGGCAACTAAAATTGTTTAAATTCAAACAAATACGACTTGTGTAAAGGTAAAACGTCGGAGCTTCTAGGAACTTGGGAGGAAAAGGCGAGTCCAGTGAAAGCAATTACTACAGTACTTGGCAATTCCTCTAGTACTGTATGATATGAGGCTGGGTGCATTTAGCACAAGATTTTAAATTTGATTTTGCGTTAGTGTAGGTGTTCTTTTTTTTTACTTGTTTTTAATTTATTTGTAATCTTTTTATGGCAATGTACTGTGATAAAGTACTGTAGACTGTTGAGTTTTGTATTCTGATTTATGTCACAGTGCATGGTTATTCAAGGATGGTTGGAGGGCGTGTGCATTGATTCTTACAACCTTATTGAAAGGCATATACTTTATACTTTATTATATTTTGTTATTTCAAAATCACACTAAAGCAAAAACCTCAAACTGCAAATGAATATGGCATCGGAAGAAGAGCAACGACAGGAATGGTATATTAATTTCAATTCAAATAGCTTTGGAAGTGGAAAACAAATTAACAAAACAAACTGGAAAACTGAGAAGATATCTAATTAATAAGCGCATGATATAACTATTAATTGGCAACTAAAATTGTTTAAATTCAAACAAATACGAATTGTGTAAAGGTAAAACGTCAGAGCTTCTAGGGACTTGGGAGGAAAAGGCGAGTCCAGTGAAAGCAATTACTACAGTACTTGGCAATTCCTCTAGTACTGCATGATATGAGGCTGGGCGCATTTAGCACAAGATTTTAAATTTGATTTTGCATTAGTGTAGGTGTTCTTTTTTTTTACTTGTTTTTAATTTATTTGTAATCTTTTTATGTTTTTATTATTCATTTGTTTTATTTCTATATAAAAAAAATTACAATTGATTTTGCATTAGTGTAGGTGTTTTTTTTTACTTGTTTTTAATTTATTTGTAATCTTTTTATGTTTTTATTATTCATTTGTTTTATTTTTATATAAACAAAATTACAATTGATTTTGCATTAGTGTAGATGTTCTTTTTTTTACTTGTTTTTAATTTATTTGTAATCTTTTTATGTTTTATTATTCATTTGTTTTATTTTTATATACACAAAATTACAATTGATTTTGCATTAGTGTAGGTATTCTTTTTTTTTACTTGTTTTTAATTTATTTGTAATTTTTTATGTTTTTATTATTCATTTGTTTTACAGTATTTTTATATACACAAAATTAAATTTTTAAAAAAAGTTTCCTATTTAATTTTTGATAAAAAAATTTAAAAGCCAAAGGTTGTTAAATGAATAATGTTAAGTGGTTCCTTAAATTAAATATGAGACAAGTTGCGTATACATGATGAAATTGACTTGAACAGCGACTTGCCAAATTACGGTGAACATTAAAATACAGTAGATGTTGTAAAGTAATTTTAGCAAGGGAGGGTTCTTAGTCATGAATTCTGAGATTATAGGCAACCTCCAAAAAAATCAATGGAAGTAAAGCATCTTAAATTAGTATAATGTGGATTCTGAGCTTATACACAGAATAGTATTTTTTTCTGTTATTTTTTTTTTTTATCAATACAATTTAGGCCTAAGGACATTCCACTGAGGGAATCTGTAAAATGCACGTTTTGGAGTTATTCCATGATATTCGACTTGATGGAATCATCACTTGATCAATATAATAGCTGCTAAAAAAAAAAAAAAAACATGTTTTAAAGCTGCTGTTATTTCAGTTGTTTATTAAAAATATCTCCTAGTCTCATTGATCATAGTTAAGTAACAGTAACTACGAAAATCGGGCTTAGAAAGGCAAGGTGGGGGGTGGGGTGGGGAGGGCAGTACAGTACTGTGCACTAACCTCTTTAATGTGCACTTTGGCCACTGATTGTAGTAAATGGCCAAAGACTCTGATTTAGTAATTTTAATTAAAGTGGGCTCATACATATCTGCTCTGCTGGAAAGGTCACCTTAAAATATTGTTAAAATTTAAACATTTTAAAAATGACTGTTTTAATAATATGCTACATAATTAGCTGACTCAATAGTTTATAATTATAATAATCTATTTGAACATACACTTTTATAACAGTGCATTAAAAAAAACCAAAATATCCAAATCAACTAAGTACTGTAATAGAATTATATCAATACAAGATATTAAGTAATAAACAAAAAAAAATCCATAAATAAAAATAAAATGAAAATAATAATGCAATAAATTCAATCAATGCAATGAGAAGTGAACCTAATAAAAGAGAATACTGTACCGGTATTTGAAATTCCTCACAAAAATATTAAAGGCCTAACAGTTTATCGGTATTCAATCATCTTATTAATTACATATCTGTGTATCTATCAAACATTTTTTGTTACTAAAGCCAAACTGTTCCAAAATTGTATAGCTTGCTGTATAATACGAGACAAAAAAAAAACAGTAACCAAATTATAAATAAAATAATGATCAATCAATAACAATATTACTGTACTTTTTTTACAACCAATATATACATTAATTGTATTATACACATGTACCACTCTTGCACTGCCAGAAGAAACGGCATTAAAAAAGATCACTATCATGAGGTAGTAATTGCAATTTAACCCAAAAATGGGAAATGATCTTGAGTTGTGCCCACTTACATGATAGCAAAACCTGGCTTTCTTTTATATCCGTAAGATTACCCAACTAACACTGTTTAGAAGTAATTTTGGTCGTTAGCAATACTTGAGTTTAAAGATGGTGCTGTTAACGTCCGTGTTTACGGTTTCTTCATTCATCATTAGAGCCAACTTTAAGCAGCTCATTGATTGTACACCAAAGTCATGGGTTTTTCTCTATTTGCACTCATGTATGCCCTAGTGTATAGACCACTACAGGGTAGACTCGAGTGGGCAAGTGGTACTGTAAGGTAGGGGTGGAGCTAGTTAAATTGGTAGAACCAAGTCTTCTTAGACAAGGACTTAAAAAAGTCCAGTGTACACATCTGGCTCATGGGTACTTTAAAGAACCCATTGCATCTTTCAGAAGAGTAGGGGGTTACCCGGATGCTATGGTTCATTTCAGCCCTTGTCGTCGAATGATGTGAACAGTAGCTACTATTGCACCACATTACAGTAGCAAGGCCATACGCAATTCAGCACAATGACGCTACGAGTTATAGGTTATTCTCCTAACCTTTACCTTTAAATCTGTAATTGAGCTGGCAGCGTAAAAGTGGTATAAGACAAAAAGTTTTGGCTTAAATACTGATAATCTATTGGCTACTATTTTACGGTACTGTACATCAGACATAGATGCAAATATAACTATACATTATTCACTCATACATTGAAGATATACCATCTGTCATAAGCTATTATATATGGAGAACCTACAAAATTCAATTCAAAGCTCATTCAAGTGATGAAATGATAAAAAACTTACAATGATACAGATTAGTATAAAAAATGTTTCTTGTGAAATTTGCTTAAAGATGTATTTTCCCCTGAAAATGACAAAAAATCATTAAAAAAAATAATTTGAAATTAATTTGCCCATTTTGTATTTAACATACATAAATGTATTTACTTGAGCATAGAAATTATTGAATTTTAAGAATGTGCACACTGCACTCTGATTTTTATACTGAAAATAATAAAAATAATAAAACACTTTCAGTGACTAGACCATATTTTTGTTGCCATATTTGGGGTAAACATTATTTTAATTGACTACTATTTTCAAGTTGATAATATTCGTAAAAACCGAAAGGTCCACTGATTAATCTCAGATAAGAAAGTATAATACATACTCCAAGTATTGAAATACATGCCATCGTGTTGAAGTATTGAAATCCCAACACGATGGCGTGTATTTCAATACTTGGAGTATGTATTATTCTTTCTTATAATATTCGTGTTACTTCAAAATGAGCAAGTTAAATTCACAAATTATTTTTATGATATTTTGGTATTTTTCATGGGACATTGCATCTTCAAATTTTAATTTCAAGTGAATTAGCTTATCACAGTTGGTATGTATATTCAACTAAGCTATCTATTAACGATTATCGATAATCTCTTCTCCTTTCTCTCTCTCTACTATCATTTCTTCGACTGCGATCTCTTTCCTTGTCATGGTAATCTCTTCTTCTATGTTCCATTCTTTCATCCCGTCTACCTTCCCATCCATTAGGTTCTCCAGATCTGCTGCTGTCCCTTGCATATCTCTCCCTGTCCCGCCTTCTGTCATTGAAGTCATTATGTCTATCTAAGTGTTTATCCTGTCGTTTCTCGTAATTATCATGTAGTCCATTGTGATGTCGATTGTCTCTTATATGATCAGACCTATTATCCCTTTCTCGTTTTACGGAGACCTGGTCTTGATAGTATCTCTTTTCAGATGAGCCATGTAAATTTCTTTCTTCACGTTTTCCATCACTGCTTCTCCTTCCTGAACTTTTTGTTATGCGTTCCTCTATTTCACTTTCTGAACTACTATCACTTGAATCACTTGATTCTCGACGTTGTTTTCTCGATCTTCGTCCCTTTCTAGTATCAACGTTACTACTCGAGTCACTTGAATCGCTGGATTCCGTATCAACATGCCGTTTTGATTTTGCTGATTTTCTTCTTTTCTTTCTATTTACATCATGATCAGAATCACTACTATCAGGCTCTCTTTTAATATGTTTTTTTGATCCTCGTTTTGAGTGTTTTCTCCTTCTTTCACAGTCTTCATCTTCACTAGAAATTACATCTCTCTTTTTCTTCAACTTTTTCTTTGAGGATCTCTTCTGTCTTTCTTCCTCTGAAGAAGAATCGCTGTCACTATCTGAACTTGAATACTTGCGTTTCTTAGATTTCTTTTTTGAAGACTTCTTTTGCTTCTTTTTGTCAACTCCGCCTCTAGCTTGTTTTTTCTCCAGTTTGTCGAGTTTTCTGGAAAAGGAAAAATTATAAATACGATGGATATTGATGATAATGCTTAAATATCCAATTAAATGTTTACTCATAATACACTGACTTTTCTATTTTTCATTTCTGGTTTACCAAAATCAAACATGGTGGGGCTGAGGTGGTGTAGACCTCCAGTATTTAACCCTCGGTCCACTGCTAAAATATGAATCATTTTCACGCTGATTTTCCGCACTTACAGAAAACTTTTTCTGCTATAGAAACACAGCCACCTATTCTGGCAATAACAAGAGTCTGGCTTTTTCTGAGTGTAGCTCACTGCATCTAGTGGCGTAGAGTATTGACATAGGGAGGGGAAGACTGATGGGCGGTAAAGGATTAAGTGAGGGGCACTGATTGATGCGATTCCTAACAACTGGCAGCGTGCATCAGACGCTGCGGATCCGGGAGCAGATTTCTGTTGAAAAAATATTTTTACAGTCTGATAGTGCCATTTCTGGCATCTAGAGGTATCTATTTTAAAAATTTCATTACCTCAGCCCTAACCATGGTGAGGCTGAGGTAAATGTGGGCCCTTTTAGGATATTAAACGTCCCACTGCTGGTCTTAGCAGATTTGAACTGGCCACCAGCTTAAAAACGTACCATACCCGGGGAGTAGACCTCCCTAGGCCCCCTTGATTTAGAATTCATGGATCCACACACTGTTTACAATAAGTCTTAAAATCATTAATGAATAAAACAAGGCACATGAATATTTAGGTAGATCTTAACTTACTTCAGCAGCTTCTTTTTTTGCTCACTAGATAAGGATCTCAGGAAAGCAACTTCATCATCGTCTTCATCATCATCACTACCAACCAGTTGCTGAGAAATACAAAACACAATAGATCTTATGATACTCATGATTTCCAATATACAGATGGGTTTCTGACATATACCTGTAGGTCAACACATGCATAATTCCAACTAGAGTTATACTTCGCAGTAAAAGCATTCATACAGTACCACAAATTTCCTATGAACATTTATCAGAGTGCAAATATTGAATTCTGCCAAGTTTAAACACAAATCAACTTCCAAAATGCATTGTAGTGACAATAAATTGAATACAACCAACACAAACTATAACATGAAAAACAATTAGTACTAATTACTGTAATTAGTAGTATTTGTAAAAAATAAGAATCAGAGCTCAATGTATCGCAAAATTTTCTAAATACCTGGTTTAATGCATTTGTATTGTTTTGACGTCCAAGAACACTGGTCTTCAATGCAAGGCCGCCCTCTCTCATCCCATCCATGAGTTCCTGTTGCTTCATACTTGGCCCAGATTGCTCGTCAACAGATGCTTTGTTATACAATGGACACTAATGAGAAGTAATAGAAATACTTTCAATGAGCAAACTTTAAATATATTAATTCAACAAATATACACATTATTTTTATCATATAATTTACAAACAAAAGATTTGATAGGGAAATACTAATGAAAATTATTAGCAAAGGGAATGGGAATCAGGATATAAATTTAAAAAAAAAAAACATATTGGAGAGTTGTAAATACAGGTCTCACTCTATTAAAGACCACTTCAATTATGGACCACCTCCAACTAAAGACCAATTTTCTGTGGTCCCAAATAAACAAATGTCTTTCATATTAATTCAAATTAGAGACCAAAGCTGCTAAAGACCATCAAAACCCCAGTCCCTATATTTGGGTTATGAGTAAATAAAAATACTGTAAAATAATGAATGATATGTAATAATACTGATTTATCTTAGATATACCCGTACCTCTTTATCTGTGTTGATATGGCCCCAATTGTGGCACTTGATGCATTTAACGTTGCGAACAGAGATGCCAAAAGGCTGATCACGGATTTCCATATCTTTGGCATATGACTCACGGGGTGCGGTCCTCTGCCACTCGAATTTCACTTCATCTCCCTTCTCATTGTTGTCGCGTTGCATACCCTTTGGTGCTTCGTACATAAAGGTCAAGCCATGTTTGACCTTTTCATCTCCCATCATTAACCTATAAAAAATAATAAAAATATCTGGTAATTATTAGTCCTTTGCAAATAAAGATTAAGTATAATAAATTAACAAAATTGGTTCACCAGTGGAGGTGTTTCTAAATAACAAATTTACTAATGATTAACTAAAAATTCATTACATTATAATTTGATTAAAAAAAAAATGTGTGCAAATGGGAAAAAAAACAATAATAGCTCAGTTGGTGGAGTATCCAAATGTTATGCAGGTCTTGGGTTTTAATGTAAATGGAGACATAAGTTTCTCCTAAATATTTATAATCAGAATTGGTAATAGTTGAGTTGAGAATTTTGTGCTGGACCTCTGGGGACCCTTAAGGTTGAGACACTGAAACACAGCCAACTACTCCCCTTCAAAGAGTCAGCTGCTAAAAGGTCTGGTTAATTATGATCATCATTACTATTGAGAAAAATATACTTACATACAATAATCAAATTGAAAATGAAACATATTACAAACACAGTCAAAATTTTTAATACTAAAAACCAAGATAAAAAATGTGGCTCATACAAAGCAGCTGAGTACAATGCGGGAAGTTTAAAATATAAATTTCCATTTTGAAAATAGATAAAATCAACAGCTAAAAAGCTAACTTTAAAGCCTGGCGCCCACTGCGACGTGCTACCGTCGGCCAAAGGATCCAACCACGCTGCCTGGGAGTGCTAGACAACACAACGCCGTCTGCTAATAGTCGGTGGCAGTCTAAAAGGATCGTCATTAAAAACAACCTGTTGTACACGTGTTGTGGGGTTTCACTCTCCATAGAATTGCATCAGTCGACGACTATCGGGCCGCAGTGAGTACCCAGCTCAAGATATTAAGTGTATAGGTGTTGAAAATCCTTTTAGTGAATATAATTTTGATATGGACTTGCTATATTCTGCAGGCTGGACTAATTGTCATTTTTTAAAACTTAAATATTAAAGATTAAATTTACCATAACTTATACAAACCTATTGTTTAGAGTGTCTTGTTCTTTTTCATACTCTGCACGAAGCTGGTCTTGTGCTTCTGTTTCTTTCAAATGTTTTTGTTCGGCCATCCATACCTGTAGTATGCAAATTGATAATGACGGTTAGGCAACTTAATTGGTTCTCTAATGGTTGAGTAGCACAGTTCATCAGTAATAAGTTCCCCCACCGCTATAATTGACATACGATTAACTGTTCCCTGGAGCAAAAGCTCAGGGTATGATTTGAATGAGTACAGTAGCTCAGCTGGATTTTAGAAATACTTTCATTTTTAAAAATCAAAGATTTGCTTTAATAAATTGGACATAGTGTTAAAAATTGGGATTTTCAATGTGCATCCATACAAATTATAAAACATACTGTCAGTTTAAACCGTTTTGAGAAAATGGATTCTCCGGCAATGGGTGTGAGATAGGGTGGGGATTGGGGGAATACATTCTGGCAAAAATATAACGATTCATTGAATATAAAAATATGTTATAATATCCTATCTTTGTAAGTAAAATTGTACTACTATTCATAATTAATTTGTACGGTAGGCCTAATCTTAATCTCCCAGGTATGGTACAATATGAATGTAATTATTATTATATATCAGACCTTATAAATTAGCTTTGAATTACATTAAAAGCATGCAGTATTGAAAAATTTGTTAATCAGTAGAATTTAGCCTAAGTGTATGTACTGTAGAGAAACATACATACACAGTATAATAATATCTGGTATATATGTTTTTCAATCATCATTGCATAATAAAATGAATTGGGATGATTAATTACAAAATAAAAAGCTACGCATATAATAACAACTTACAGGTACAGTATTAGGCCAACATATTTTTAAAAAAGTTTAAAATTAAAATACTACTACCCCAAAAAAAGTACAGAAATTAAGTTCAATTAGCATACAAAATTCAAAATATGAATACAAATGAAATTCAATTAAAACAATTTTGTTACACAGTTCAATTCCCTAAATCACCTTAAAAAATTAAAAAATCATGATTTTTAATACAGTAAAAATATTATTACAAAAAGCATTTACAGCATGAAATATTCATATTTAACACAACTTAGCAGTTTGATTGATTATTATCACTTTAATGAAGTTGGCATTAAAAAATGATATAATGAAAATTGAATTATATCATTTAACTTAAAAATTAACATAAGATAAAATATTTTAACAGAGCAAGAAAAAAATACAGCACAATGCAATATGTTGCCATAGGGGGATTCGGCGATGGGCGTCACGTTACTTAAGTGGGTTGGGGTATAAGCAATGTAAAACGGGGCCGACATAAGAATTTGCTTTTTTTTTTGGCTTTATCATAATTACTACATAAATAATACACTGGTTATATATTAAGATTAAGTCAAAGCCTAATTTTTGGCAAAATCTACACAGAAATTGACCCTTATTTTCTGAAATGATTTCTTTCAAAGCCTAGGCCAAATTTTTGCACAGAGAATATATTTCCTGCGCAGGCCATACTTTACAGTGTGGCACTCTCCTCACTTCACTGTTTCTTAGATTGGTGGGTGGAGAATAGAATAACATAGTTACCAACCGTCTCGCATCATGCGGGACAATCCCGAATTTTAAAGTGAATTTGGATGAAACACACATTTTGCAGAAACACATGCATGATCATAAATTTGTCACGCATTTAGCAAAGGTCTATGTGTGATAACGAATTCAGTGGAAAATGTATTTAAATTAAAAGAAATTTGTTTTATTAACAATATAAAAACGGTCATGCAGTAACTTGACCCATTAGAGAGCTTTCGTTCTAGAATCAATACACCGACAAAATTTCCCTTTCTCTAACAACACAACCCAGCCAACCACACACTTAATAGCAAAATCTAGGAGGCACATGCTGACTTGGGCGTTCATTGTCACAACCAACTGTTGATAATGTGACTAAAGCTCGGACCGCACACGGGCTTCGCCCCAGACCCGGCAGGGGCCCCAGCGGCCCATGAGCCCCCCGCCCCCAACTGGTGTAGTCACACATTTCAAATCTCTCAGGTTGGTACAGTAACTAAGGAACTAACAAAAGATCACCTGGCTAGAAGCTAGGATATTGATATTTGTTATTATCAAAGTAAATGTCAAAAAAGTAAATTACTACATACTACGTAACTTAAGGCCTATTACTAGGCCTAGGCCCTAGTAGGCCTACTTATAGTAGGCCTAGTAGGGAATACATATCATTTTGGTCGCACTTTCATTTTGGTTGCGCTGTATTGTTATGCATTTCGGTCGCGATAAACAGCCGCAGTATGGAACGCCGATGTACACACTAGTGCTTTATGTTTGGAAAGTAATTTTTAAAGGGTTCTGTATTTTAAGATTTTTTGTGCATGTGTTTCAGACTTGGTACTAATTTTATTTATTTTGTCTTTTTTGACGATGATTGACTATCATAGGCCTAATAATTTCTGTATTTCTTTTAGTATGGTTGTTGTTTAAGTTGTTTACTAATTGTTAATTACAATTAATTTAAATATAATTTTAGCATGTTCTTTTTCTTTTTACAGATCCAGAAGTGAAAATTCAAGTACATATTTCTAATTTCATAATAAAGGCCTAGGAGTGTTGTTACGATTATGATTTAATTTGATTATCAAATATACTTTTATATCAGAATATTAAAATATATGTATTTGTAAATTTCATTTAAACTACATTTAACAATTAATAATAATAAACTATAATATTATAGTACAGATATACAAATAATTGTTAGTCAACTAATGTTTGATTTTTTATGTAAGTTTGTGTTTATAAAAACACTATACTTCTTAGCTCCCTTGACTTGTTTCAGATTTGCGGTCGCACCTTCGGCGCGCCACACAGCGACAGAAATGCATAACAAAAATAGCGCAATCGAAAAGAAGGCGCGACCGAAATGATCGGATACCCTAGTAGGTCTAGGCCGACTACTCCTCTAGCTAGTTTTTACTAGCCTAGCTAGGCTACTACTACTACTAGCTAGTAGTAGGATAGTAAGTTCTATCTACAGTAGTTAGTATGAGAGAGAGTGTCATATTATCTAGATACAAAACCGATAGAAGACACTATATCGGCAATACAATTGGGTATTCCGTGGAAGTATACAACAATTTGACTGAATTACTTCCAGGTAACACTCCAGAAATGATTTCTGGACCAAGTTATTGGCTTTTTAAGCGCGCGAATCGATTTAGTAGAAGTTTTTTTAGTACAACCAATGTTTCGTCGATTTTCAATAATAAAAAGAAACCTTCCCTAGTTTTTTGGTTAACATGTTTGTTTTATTCAGTTTTTAAACTATAAAGATAAGTAAGTTTTAAATAATATTTGTGTGCATATTAATTGAAATAGATTGCATAAAATTCTATTGTCTTATCAAGTACCACAACTAGGCTCGGCTTGTATGAATAGAGGGCACCCTCATTAATTTGCAGCGGCTACACGCGGGGTAAACAATGTTCTCCCCACTGGCCACCGTGTTGTCTGAGGCCTGCAATTAGGCCTAGAGTTACAGGTATGCGATTCAATATAATTTATTATACGTAGAATCTATAAGTTGATAAAAATTATTAAATCTAATATAAATATAATTATATATACTAAAATACTAAATTATAATCGTTAGTAATTGTCAAGTATTATTATAACATGGCTTAAAATGCTACATAACTATACTGTAAGGGACAAACTTCTTATATAATAAAAGCAATTGGAATTAACTCCAGCAAAAACATATTTATAAAATAGCAATATCTCCGCTAATATTGGTCTGATTTACATAATTTTTGTTTTAAAATGCTTCATTCAGTTATGTCTTTCTATTAAAAATAAATAAAAAATATTTGGGACATTTTTTTTTTCTAGCTCAGGGCCGGATTTAGGGGGGCCCGGCCCGGCCCGACCCCCCTTTTGGGAGGTAAAAAAAAGAAAAAAAAAAGAAGAAAAGAAAGAAAAAGAAAAAAATGATAGCCCACAATGCCTCAAATGTTATTTTCGGGCGTCTAGAACACAACAATTTCGGACCCCCTAGGACATTGTTGTCTCGATCGGCCCAAATTTCGGCCCCCCCCCCCTTTTTTGGACATCTCTGGATCAGCCCCTGTCTAGCCATGACGCGATTGCTAAAGGACGGCTAAGTAGGCCTACCTGTCAATCCTAACCAAAACAGGGTCTAGGCCTAGGAGCCTCCTAACTATGCCCTTCTTGCGGTGTTCGATCATTTCGGCCGCCGCGCCAAATGTATGGAATGCCAAAGGGCCACCGAATACACAACAGCCGATTGAAATATTATTATACATACACAATTCCTTATATAATATTTGATATTTTATTCCTACTGTATATGATATTTATGTAAATTTGCTTATTTTTGTATTAAGTTTCAGTAAATAGTTAAATATTTACAGTGATTTTTACAACTTTAGTATCAATAAAAGAAGACTATACCAGTTTAATTTTTTGTATTTTTTGCGAGTCTAGTAGTGAGGTGTTTCAATTTACAATACATATGGCATACCGCCATAATTAATATCACGAAAACGTATATAATTATAACAATACAAAACATATAATTAACCATTAATCAAACTAGTTTTAGACAGAATTTATTTTCCCTCATCGTCTACCTGTAAAGAACAAATTAAAATCATTATCATGATAAATCAGTTTCTGCACTCATATAATTGTTACAATAGTTTATAACAACGAACATACGTGTATAACATTCCAAAGATAAAAAAAGTACAAAATTACATTAAGTATAGTGACACACAACTCATTACATTATAGATAATCAACTACAACTTGGCCTTTTTGCTACAGAAAAATACAGTAGGCCTAGTATAAAACGTGAATAATTACGGTATCATTAGTTAGGCGTTATCATATTTTATTAACCACAAAAATAAATATATATACCTAATGAAAAACACGTAGGCATATTTCTATAGCATGCATTTCATACAAATATGTAGGCCAATGCCTACAGAGATGGAAAGGTAAATAAAAAAAAAAGGCCAGATTATTATTTGGCTATGACGCTTCCGCATCCTGCAACAACCACACTACCAACGGAACTCTATTGGCGCGCCATACTTTCTATTGTTAAAAATCTGGCGGCCGAAATGAGCGGCGGCCGAAATGATCTGAGACCCTTCTAGCTAGGCTGCAGCTACCTTGCCTTGACTAACTAGCCAGGGCCTAGCCTAGCCGAAACGACTCTAGGCCTACACCGGCTGGCTAGGCCTAGAAGAACTTACACTACTACTAGGCCTACGCCTACGCTGACTCTCAACATTTATGACGAGATTAATATTTTATCATACTTACCCTTTTAATATTGTCATAGGAGGAAGGATGAAACCACTTTTTACACATATAATTAGCAAATGACTTTCCCATGATTAGTTTTGACTGTCCGATCAAAAGTCCGATGACAAGAAGAAGAGACGGTACGGTACGGCGCGGTATGTACGATTAAAAAAGGTTTTGAAATGACGTCACCAAGGTTCTCCCAAAGGTTTCCAAACGTTTTCTACGCGTTTGATGGAAGATTATGACAAACATTGTTGAAACACATTGGGATCATTACGTAATCCCTTTATATCAGACTGCACACATCCGTACCAGTGGTGGTTCCAGGAAAGTTTTATTTTTGTAGGGTTGTTTTTTATTTGTGTTTTAGGTGGTAGTAAAGTTGCTACCTCCAAACAACAGACTATTTCAATTTCATTTCTATTTCATTTACGGCTAGCCATCAATACACAGGATCTGGACTACAATAATATAATAAAATAGTATTTGCAATATTAAAATACATTTCATTAAAAAAATCCAGAAAAGACACTGTTATCAAAGACTACCAGAAATAAACTTTAAAAACAGTTAAATGAAAAATAAATAAATAAATAATAGAAATCAGACCTAAACAATTTAATTGTTTGTTTGCCCTTCTTAATTTAAATGAAAAGGGGGGGGGGGGGCAAGAGGATTTTTTTTTCTATAAAAAAGAGATAAAATTACCTGACCTTTTTCAAGAGGGGAAAAACCCTGAATTTTGAAGAACTTAAAGGTCATTAAAAGACACCTTAGAAGTCAGGAAAGCTCATTTCCCTCCATCTACGAATCAAAATTTTCCCGGGGGAGAACCCCGGACCCCACTTTCTTTTTTGCTTTTTAAAAAAAAAAAATATTTTTAACTCCTTCTTTCAAATCCTGGATCCGCCCCTGCCTTCGAATTACTTTACGACGCTCAGCCGCTCAACAAGTAGGGCCTAGGCCTAATTCAAATGATCTTAAGGTCGATGAATAAAACAGGGCTGGGCGTTGTGGTGTGCGCCAGTGACTTTGAAAGCCGGGGTTGTCATGATCGCATGAATTCGGGCTCCTGCGTCGTTGTGCTCCGATTGGTCGTCCACGCTAAACTCGGCGTCGATATGGTTGGACAAGTGGAGACATGGACAACAGGTTGTCTAAGGAGGGACGTACTGGTACAGGGTGGCAAATGTTCCCACTTAGAGAGTAGCGGGACAGCGTTCATGAATAGGATGCGATTAGTAGCTCGAGCAATATTGGCGAAACACAATTCTTTTTTAAATTTATAAATATTATTTTTATGGTAATAAAAATAATAATAATATAAGAATTTATAAAGTGTCAATTAAACGACCGAGGTGCATTATCAAACGCTTTGCACATTAATGATGGAAGGTGAGTTTTGAGTAATTTTTCAAATGAAGCAACAGAAAAACAGTTTTTAATGTGTACGGGGAGTGAATTCCAAATTGTAGGTGTGGCAAAGGAAAAAAATTTATAGCCAATAGTTTTGAAGGATGTGCGGGGAACGGAGAGCAAAAAAAATATCAGATGATCTTATAATATTCCTTTTTTTTTCAAAGTTGAACACCGTAGAATCCCAATTTCTATTCCAACAAACCAGGATCTATTGGTGATTCTTTTTCTGGTTATTTCGACCTATTAATTGCTGGTTAAAACTTGCAAACATTACTTTTGACCATTTATTTAGTTATAGACGTAAATGTTTCAAATATGTCGCCTCATTCTATAAAATAAATAACACGTATTTCCTGGTAAATGTTGACAATTATAACGGTTAACATTTTTTCGAGAATTTCTATTCATTGTGGTCAATATGTAGGCCTATAGGAGAGTAACCACCTTTAACTAAGTACATTTTAATCTGGAATAAGCGCTAAATGCAATATCAATTAATCATAATCATTATTTATTAAAATTAATACCTATTGCAGTAAGCATCAACACAATTTCATTTGTAGTCGTTGCGCATCCAGCTATACCGTAAAACCTCGAATAGAATCCATGGGCTTATTTTTGTTTTTGCGACCTTTGAATGGGTTTCTTTTCGAGATGGGCTTCTTTTTGAGGCACTTTTGCAAACTAAGAGATTGGTTCAATTTGAGATGGGCTTCTTCTCGAGATTGAAGTCAGACTCTGGAGGGGAAAAAATGTTGATATGTTGTAGCACTGATTTTTCTAAGACATAAAAAAGTTGTTTGACGAAAAACTGGGGAACGGTAAATGAGATACAGATTTTTGAATATTTAAAAACTGGGGGAAGTCAAAGAATCATCGATACTATCCCTCGTATCATCTTTCTCTTAAATAATTTTCCTGGCAGCAGAAAAAAATTAAAATCCATGCATAATACTTTATAATATGCGTAATCTTCAGGATGTTTGCCGACTATAAGTGGAAGATGACAGATAAGATATTAGTAGCTCTTTGATGCTACTAATTTCACCTCCCAGCTTTTCCAAAGAAAAACCGTTTTTAAATTCAATTTTATTCTTCTTAATCCGTGAATTACCCCATGTGGGATGTATAAATATGTATTGTATTGTATGTCTGCAATAATAATAGTTGACAACAAAACCTTTAGAGGATAACATAATGTCGATTTAGAATAACGTAATGTCAATTGAGAACATAATGTCGATTGAGAGCAGCATGACGAAACTCAGTGCACTACTGAAGGAAGTAATGGCGTTCCATAGCCATCTGCAACATAAGCCACTTGCTTAAAAAAAATCCTTCTTTATAGAACATAATTGTCAATATGGAAACATGTAAGCAGTAACAGCAACATCAGCCACAGTAGCAGCATGCTGTAGAAATTGTCATAGTAGTCATAGTAGGCCTAGTACCGGTAGTACCTGTTAGTCGTCGTTAGTTTAATTTCAACAGAATAAAACTGGTGCTTCCATTAAAATATAGTGTCCCATTTGAAGTGATATAACATTTATGAACATGAACATAGAAATGAGTGTATTAAAAATGTTTAGCAATATAGTTTTCCAGCGAAAAACACTAGAATGTGCGAGGCCGCCCCACCCCCTCCCCAAACCTGGCGTTTCCCCTGGATACCAACTGGGGCACTAAGCGGGTCAATTCAAGTTATCTCCAACCCCTACATAAATTTGGAATCTCCTCTACTGTGTGGATGTTTTAATGCTTATGTTGATGGTTTTTAAAAAACATAGTATCAGTATTCGATATCACAACAAGTGTTCAAGGTAGATCGTTGTGGATGGAGGGTATTTTAATTGTTATTAAAACTCTTACACCATAATTGCAATACAGTAATGCAGTATTCATGATCGCCATGGCCCTCACCGTCATCAGGTCATCATTAGATAATCATTATCAACATAACTGTCGTCATCAACATCCCGTACACATTTCAATATAAAATGTATCAAAGCACTACAAGGACAAGGACTATTTATTGTCACTTTGTCACAACCAAGGCCTTTTATCATAAAAGTCATCGAGTAAAATAAAGCTCTTCTAAAATGAAGCTACTCACTTAAAAACCTTTGATAGTTGCTATAACAGCCATCAAAACAATTTTTAATATTTGCTTATGCGCTTAGAGGGATCTGTAATTGATTATGCGCTTAGAGGGATCTAGATCCATTAGGCACTATATAAATGCTCTATTATTATTATGTTTATTATTATTTAAGTTATTTTGACTAAACACACAGTATATAAACGCACTGAAAAAAAGCTATATTCTGAGAGGGTGGCATAAAAACAAGGAATAGTTATGGACACTAACATATTGAATCAATGCTTTTTATCAGGTAAAAGTCCTTAATTACCAAAGTGAAATCTTAAGCTACCTCCTTTAAAGTCAGGCTCCGGAGGAAAAAAAATTATGTTGTAGAACTGATTTTAAAAACTGAGCAGCGGTGAACGAGATACAGATTTTTGAATATTTAAAAGCTGCGTGAAAATGTGTAAAAATGGGAGCTTACGCCCTTTTCCCACAGTTTGTTAATATTCCAAAATCTGTATCTCGTTCACTATTCCCCAGTTTTTCGTCAAACAACTTTTTTCTGTCTAAGGAAAATCAGTTCTACAACATATCAAAAATTGTTTTTCCTCCGGAGTCTGACTTTAAAATGGAGCTAATCATTTTAAAACCGCCATAATAACCTAGTAGCCATTAAAAAAAAAGTGTTACCATATGAACATTTTTGAATATTGTAAACACTTTCTGACAGTTATTTCGATTTATTTTATTTTACATTATCATGAGTATAATGTACCTAAAACGTAATTTCTTTGTTTCATTTTGATTGGAATTTCCTTTTAGATAAAACCAAAAATGCTTAGTTTTTTAGATGTATTCATCAGTTTCGCTGACAGCCAGTCAGTATGTCAGTACGAATTGGCTTGGTTTGGTTGGTTACTACCTTCTTCTGTCGATGTGCGTTGACTGGCGCCACCAGTTTTCAAAGTAGAACAGTGAGCAGTTTGTTAAATTGGTGAAATTCAATTAAAATTTGTAATCAAGTATTCATTTACTCAATATAATTTATGCAGTGCAAATGTTTCTTATTGGGATATATGGTTCTATTTATTCATTATTAAGCTTAACACCACTGCTTCTAGCAAAGTTTTTAACTTCTAATCTGCTTCCTAAATCGTAATTTATGGCTATTAATTGTTTACTTTCACATGAATATCGATTTAAATGAATGTTACTGAACTGAACTGAACTGAACCAGAAAAGAAACAGTTCAGTATTTTTTTTTTAAACAAACTATGGTTAATTTTAAATAAATCAGTTTTTCAGTTTAATAAACTACTTTATTTGTTAATGTTTTTGTTTCCTATGTTTTATTGTATCGTTATATTAATAACCATCCACATTGGTTCTTTAATACTAGGTTAGGGCTACTCTATACCGTTATTAATTATCTTTTTGATATAAATATTTATCCGCCTCGCTTGTGGTCGCTTAATAGAATAAGTTTCCCTTTATTTCAGATTAAAATTTCAACAACTTTTCAAACTGTTGAATTTGTTATGGTAAAACGAGTAAAATGTTTCACCATAAACATACAGAACCCATCATCGACAATAAAAAAGCTATCGTCATCTTCAACATCATCTATATTTTGCCAATCATCTGTCTGTCTGTCTCCCTCTGAGCGCACAGCAGTGAATTGCCATTTTTCCTCTTCTACTGCATTGTGGGGAAAGGTTAGGACAACATGGCTGAGAAAGGAGGTTCCTGGCGGGCCACAGGTAACGATTGGTGCTACCCGAGTCTCCACCTGTCTTTTGAGACCTTTGATTTCACCTTGATTTTCTTTCAAAAAGCGTGCCTTTGGGTCTATATAAATATAGATTTCCTGTTTTAATGATGAAATTGCACCTTGTGGAATAAACAAATTAATATCGCCATTCCCAACGCTCAAATTTCCCCCTCTGCTATCAAACACTCCGTATGCAAAATTCTCTGTTGAATAATTAGTTTCTAACTGGGTTTCCATATTGCATTGCTCCGCTTTTTGGCGACATAAACGTAACAACGCATCTAACTCATTATATGGTATGCCTGACTCATGTTTTGGGGTCTCAAAACTACACTCTTCTCCTAAATGAAGTAGAAAATTGAAATAAATATATTAGAAAGGAAATAAAAATATTTTTTCTTCCGAGTTGTCTAAAGTTACTTTAGTCAAATGGGAAGTTTTGCGGTTATTCAAAATGGTTAAATTAACAATTTTAAATCAACAAACTATGTCATGGTCATGGTAAAATAAAACAACAAGGTAATTAATTTACTCTTGAAAACCAATTAGTCTATAAATTTGAGTCAACATGTAAATCTTAATCGTGTTATAATTGAATTCATTTTTCAGATCACAATTTAGGGACATAAAAAATGTGAATTGTTTATGTAGTGTGAAAAACAAATTTACGTAAAGTAAATGATGAGGAACATTATAATATTATAAGGCAGGAAAAACCATGTGAATGCTTGTTGAAGGAGATGAATAAGCAAACTTTACCTGCATTATGTTTCTTCAAAGCTAACTGAAGATCTTGGTTTTCTAAATTGAGAAGAAAAATTATTTGTTATTTAAAAGTTAATTTGGCATAAACTGTATTAAAAAATCTATTTAGACATAATTGGCATTTACCTTTGGTACTTTCGTCTAGTAATCTCCTCAATCTGTTGATTTCTTCTGTTTGGTCATCAGAAGTATCCACTGAAAGTACGTAATGGTAGGTGTTGAAAGTACATAACGGAGATGTTAAAGTACGTAACGGTAGATATGAAAGTATATTAAGCATTCTTTTAGAGTTAATGCAATCCTGGTTGAAGTGACATAATTAAACATCAGTCTGGTCAAACTCAAAATTCAAACTGGTGAATTATTTATACAATGAATAACAAAACGACATAAGCTATTGATAAGGAACATTAAATAAAGCAGACAAAAAGACATGTAATTGTTGAAAGTAGATAAATAGGATAAAAATTACCTGCATCATGTTTCTTCAAAGCTAAATGAAGATCTTGATTTTCTAAATTAAGAAGAAACGAGATTAGTTATTTCAAAGTTAATAATCGCTTGAAATGAATTCAAAATCTAATAATTAGACATATCGGTATTACCTTTTATCACTGCGTCCAGTAGTCTAGTCAATTCATTTATTCCATCTATTTGGTTATCAGTAGTATCCACTGAAAGTACATAACGGTAGGTGTAAAATATATTAAGCAATGTTCTATAGTGTATGCAATTTTGGTTGAAATAAAATACAGTAATTCTTTTCAGAAACTGTACCTTTATAGAGAATGTTTATGTACAGTATGTACACAATATTCTGTATAATCATTTGATAGCATAGACAAAATAAGGTTCACAATCTATATACAATACAATGTCTTTGATCCTGTAAATGCAGAGTGTAGTGCAATTAGTCCTTTGTTTATTAATGGTGTACTGTCTTACAGCAGTCTACCCCGAAAATAGGGAAAACCTCAAAAATCAATTAAAATTTCCGAAAGAGCCATTTAAAAGGAGGAAATAAGTTAACTTCCAACTTTAAGGGTCTATAGTAGGAATTTTTCTTTTATTCAAATTTCTAATTGTAATTATTATATAATAACTTACTTAAATATACAAATTAAGTAATTCAATAGAACTGATTTTTTCCCCTAATTTTAGCTCATGACAGACAGTATATATATGTAAAGGAAAATTAAAATGTTAATGAAATAAATTATCATTACCATTAATATGCCGAATATAATGATCATATCTAACGTGCACAAAGTGTTGTTGACTGGCTTGCTGTTTTGCTTTGTTGGCCCAATCTTTAACTTCCTCTTCTGTTATTTCTGCGTTCGGTATTTCAAAACAAATGATTTCAACAATTTGTTCGATAATATCCAGCATTATTGGAACAACACTGAACAGTAAGGCATATACCCTACCAAGCAAGGGTTTCTTTCTGAAACTGTTATGCATGTCTTTGTTAACTGAATGTTCCAATCCCAAATTTCGTATCTTTTGAAGAAGATTACTGTACTTTTCTCTTGTCGATTTGAAACATTTAAAGTTTCCCAGAAGCTGATCCATTGCCATTAACTGCCTGACCAACTCTTGGAGGTGAATACCTACTTCAATAAATTTGCAACCCGATCCCTTAGGGACATTTTTCCTGTTATTGATGTTTATCAAAGCCTCTATTGCTTCAGTGAACGACGGGGTTTTTCTCTGATTTGGATCCTTCCAATTCTTTTGGCGACGATATTCGACAAGTGCTGGTTTTAAATCATCCTGAACATCGACTGGATCAACGTCTTTCCAGCGATCCTGTATTTCTTTATTTATATACTCTTTCAATTGTTTTGACCCTTCTTCTGAATATTGTGTTAACGTATTAACTACTGTATCCGCATCGACATTGTTAGGCTGAATTGAATTAATAAGAAGGTTCTGTTGTGTCAAAAGTGGACTTGTCTGAGGCCTGACTACGAGTGCCATATCTGAAATGTAATATAGGATTTCCTTTATTTTGTTGAATTTTTGAATACAGCATTTTACGAGTGTACCAATTAATCAACAACATCTATATTGATCTCACTCACAGTCTATACTTATCTAGGCTACCCCTCCTCTCTGAAAGTGTACGGTGCATAAATGATATTGATTTCCCACTACGTAATTCGTGATAGAGATTATACAGTACAGTGTAATTCGAGCCTAGCGCATGAGCAGATCAGGTATTTTTGCATGCGGTTTTGTGTAACAAGCGCCGGCTTGATTTGTTTTGTAAACTGTTTTCTAATGCTGTTTATTTCATATTGAACCAAAGTACGTTGGCATGAAACTGCTTTTTTAAATATGGTAAAGTAACTTAAAAATTAACATTATTCAATTATATTTGTTAATCAATGGAAATTCGTAATTGGTAAATTGCGTGATTAAATGGAAAAAGTCTGCTAATTGTAGAATTCGGGATTGGAAATCTCCAGTTGTAGTAACTGGAAATTCTATATGAATTTCGCAATTGCCATGCTTTTCTTGGACTTTCACTGTGTATGGGCCCTAACCTTCCATTATAGGCTAGGCCTCCTGTCATGCTATTAGTCTGAGTCTGTTTCGCTTTTCAATCATATTCTGATCATCTCATTTTCTTGTTAAACTTGTTGAAAAGGGAGGCGATGTCCTTATCTAGGCTTACAGCCTCTATATCCAAAAGCCAACCACTGACCCTTTCCGAACCTGTTGTATCTCCTATTTTTTAAATTTTTGAATGAAAAAGTATATCTACTATCATGGTTTAATTATACAGTCCTACAATCAACACAACTTATATATTTTAACGTACACTTTCGTTGCAGTGGCACTCGTCGGTTGACGATATGGAAAGAAAAAAATAACACTGTAAAGTCATTAGCTAAATTTATTGTTTGTTCTTTTTAAAAGCAAACCTTTTATTTGGCACAGAACTATTTTGTGTTGACTTATGTATCGTAACAAATCTCTATATAAAAGAGAATTGAAACAAATGTTTGATATGTTGAGATCTGATTTTTCTAAGACAGAAAAAAAGTGGTTTGACGAGATACAGTTTTTTGAATATTTCAAAAAGGTGTCAAGTTGGGCGGTTACTCCATTTTCCCCCAGTTCTTAAATATTCAAAAATCTGTACCTCATTCACCATTCCCCAGTTTTTCGTCAAACAGCTTTTTTCTGTCTTAGAAAAATCAGTTCTACAACATATCAAACATTTTTTTCCTCCGGAGCTTGACTTTAATATGCATTTTCGTGTACTCTAAAACTATTTTTTTAATTCGATGTATACCAGTGTCTATCTGGTCGAATGTCTTGATATTAAAAATATCAAACACCCCTTCCCCACCCGTTAGTGCGTTGCACGTCGTAAAAGACTCTACCCAGATTTCTCCTTTGGAACTCCCAACTAAAACAAAGAGACCTACTGTAAATAAATAAGACGATGGATTTTCGAAAGCGAATTTAAAATCACTATTTACATTATTAGGCCTATTGGATTTTAATTTAAAATTAATCTAAACTATATATTACATTATTATAATAAGCATATATTAGATTCTAAAAATGAAATAGAAAATGTTATTGAGAAATGGAAAATTTTAATATTATATGATTCCGGTTTCAATAGAGGTACCGGTAATGTTGCAATACTATCAGCGCTCATGCAACTACAAAATGGCGCCGAATTCACTAATGACATCGTGACGTTGATGATTATTGGAACTTTCAGTCAGCATTTCAGACATATTTCTCTCTTTTATTATCAATTTATTACAAACCAAAGGTACATTATTTCATAATGTAGGCTACCAAAGGCTTATAGAGCACTTTACTTTACACATAAAATTTACGGAAAAATGGAATATCGATTTATTTTTAGTCTTACTGAAGATAATGTCGTATTCTTTTTAGTACGGTAAGTACGCCTTAAACACTGTACAAATAAAGAGATTGTTTACATTTCGTCTAAGCCCTATTTTATTAATTTTATTACAATGTACTTTGATATGATTGATATTATTATTATTATTATTATTAATAATAACATCGTTATTAAACTGGCGTCCATATATTTTGGTAGGCCATCCCAATTTTATTCAACAGCAGACATTAGTGGTAATTCCGTCCTAGGCCTATCCGAAGTAAGGCGGAAATATTATCAATTAATGTTCAGTTCTTATTGACTTATCAAATAAAATCATTTCATTTTCCACAGTATACATAATTGCTAAACTATCCATTTAAAATAGATACTTACCTTGAATTAAAATAGAGAGAAATAATAAAATAAAAAGACGATGATCCAGTCGGTTCAGGTGAGATTTACGTGTGAAGAAAAACCCAACCCGAAATCGGTTACAATGCAGATTGTTTCATAGTATCAATGCGCGATTGCTATAGAGATACTGTTTGCAACGTCACAGACTGGAAATTCCCAAGTTAAATTTGCAACACCCACAATGCTCTTGATTTTTTTTTTCAATGTTTCAAAGTAGTGACCTTCTGATGAATGTTTATATCTTTTTTTGCCTACTTATATATATATATATATATATATATATATATATATAATTATATATATATAATATATATATATGTGTGTATGTGTGTGTGTAGATT